GCGGCGGCGGCGTTCACGGCGTCCTTCGTCGAAGCGTGCGAGCTGTCGTTCGCGACGACGACGACGAAGAGCGCGCGAACGACGACGACCGCGGACAAGAACGAACAGACGTGCGGCGGTATCACCTTTAAGACCAGCCTGGAGGCGGCGGCCGCGACGCGTTCCTCTTGCCGTCCGCGCCGCGCGTCCACGCCGTCGGCGTCTCCGGCGCCGCGTCCTCCACCTCGACGACTTCGGGGGGCGACATCGCCGCCGCCCGCGACGCCGGCGGCGATGTCTCCCCCCGAAGTCGTCGAGGTCGAGGACGCGGTCCCGGAGACGCCCACGGCGTGGACGCGCGGCGCGAACGGCAAGGGGAACGCGTCGCGGCCGCAGACCCCCGGGTCGTGGCTGAAGAGTTGGAGGAGGAGTTTCACGCCGAGGAGCGCGAGCGCGCGGAGGAGAAAAGGAGCCGCCGAAAAGGAGCCGCCGACGCCGGCGCCGTCGACCGCGGTGAAGACGCAGCGCGAGCGACTCGCGGCCGCGCGCGCGGCGAGGAAGGGGAAGGAGAAGGACAGAAGCGACGCGGCGGCGGCGGCGGCGGCGGCGAGGGAGTCACCGAACGGGGTACCGAGCGGCGCCTCCGTCCCGGCGTCGGCGTCGGCGTCGGCGAGCGACCCTCTGATGTCGTCCTTCGCCGAGACGCTCACCGCGGTCGCGTCGCCGCCGCCGCCGGCGCCGATCGCGGAGTCCCCGGAGCCGCCGCCGGCGCCGATCGCGGAGTCCCCGGAGCCGCCGCCGGCGCCGATCGCGGAGTCCCCGGAGCCGGCTGAGACGCCGTCGCCGTCGCAGTGGGGCGTGATGCCGTTCTTCCGAGGCGCCGCCGCGAGCGCGAGCGCGATGGGGTCGATTCTCTCCGCCGCGTCCACCGCGGACGAAAAGCAGCTGAAGATCATGGACATGGCGATCCGCATGCGCGAGACGCTGTCGAAAGAGCGGGCGAACGAGATCGCGGAGAAGAACCTCAGTCTTTCGGAGATGATGCTGCGCTTGAAGCGCGCGAACGTGGACATCAAGGGGGACGCGAACGACATCGCGGCGGCGGCGAACGACATCGCGGCGGCGGCGTTGGAGGGCGCCGCGGAGGACCGCGCGAAAACGGAAGCTTCTCGGGCGTTACGAGAAACCCGCGCCGCGCTCGCGGACGACTTCTACGCCGGTCTCGTCGTGATATTCCTCGCGTCCGCGGTCGGCGGGTGGCGCCGCGCCGCGGACGCGATCGCGGGCATCGCCGGCGCGTGCCCGGCTTCATCCTCCGCGGGCGGATCATGGATGTGGTCCTATCTCACGGGCGGCGCCAGCGGTCCGTTAGACTACACCCTGTGCGTGATTCGCTCGCTCGTCGGCGCCGCGTGGGGCGCCGCGCTCCTAACGCTCTTGGGCTGGAAGCTTCTGCGGTACAACGTCGTGACGTCGTTCCAGTCCGCGCCCGCGACGGTGTTGCTCCTCGTCCTCGGCGGCGGCGTCGGCGTGGTCGGGAAAAACGCGGTGAGTTCCTTGGGCGGCGACGGCGAGACGTGGGTGAGGCTGTGGCACGGGTACTGCGTCCTCGCCGCGATGTCGCACTGGGGGGCGTCGCACGTCGCGGGGTTGATGAAACGCCTCGGAAGCGTCGGTTCAGTCGCGTTTCACGTCGCGCTAGGCGGCGTGATTCCGTTCGTCGTCGGCGCCGCGCCGTTCGACGACGTCTTCGCGGGAATAGCCCGGGAGGCGATGGAAAACGTCCTCGGACGGACGGTTGCGGCTACGTGATCACGAACAACACAGCACCCGCGCGCGAACGTCACGATACGCAGCAAGCAGCACGACGTGACGAGAGCAGCATGCGTATACGATAGTACAGTAGTATTGACAATAAATAAACGAACGACACGATGTGAACGGCACCGCGCGCTGTATACTGTAGACTACACGGGTACTGTGTGACCCCTCTTCACACGTACGTCGCCTCTCGCAACGCGAGGACTTGCTTCTTCAGCTCGTCAACCGCGGCCATCTCCGCTTTCATGCGCTCGCACTCCTTCTGCGCGGCTCTCAGCTCCGCCTTGTACTTGTTCCGCTGCGATTTCATGTTGTCAAACTTCACCTTGTTCGCCGCCGCCTTCTGCGCCCTGTGCGCCCTCGCCGCGGGGTGGTTCTCCAGATCCGCGACGTCTGGGATCTCCGACACGTTGGACGCGATGTCCGAGAAGCCGATCGTGCTCAGGGAGTCGTCCAACCCGCCCCCGAGGCCGTTCCCCGAGCCGTTCCCCGCTCGCGCGTTCTCCTCCGCTTGCTCCGCAGCCTCTCTGCGCGTCCGCTCGAAGTCCGCGAGCGTCTTATCGATCGCGTCGAGCTTCGCCGCGCTCGCGCTCGCGCTCGCGGCGGCGGCGGCGGCGGCGGCGGCGTCGAGCGCGACCGAGGCGCCGCCGCCCGGACCCAGACCCCCACTCCCCGCCTCTCTCATCGCCTTGATCGTCTCCTCGTGCTTCCTCTCGAGCTCCTCGTTCCTCTCCTGCTCTTCCTTGATGATCGATTCCGCCTCCGCGCGGACGGCGACCAAACGCATCTGCGACTCCTCCATCTGCGCCGCGAGCGCCGCGTTTCTGTCGATGAGTAACTCCCTGTCCTTTCGAAGGTACTCGAACGACTCCGCGGTGGACGCGTGAAGCTCCATCACCGCAGCCTCGCCCTGCGTGATTTCGTTCTCGAGCGCCTCGTTCGCGCTGATCAGCTTCTCGATGTGCGCGTCCGCTTCGTCTCGCGTCTTTTCCAACTCCCGCGCGTGCGCGATCAGTTCGACGTGCGTCTTGGCGAGTTCTTCGCGCTTTTTCTCCGTCGCCGCGAGGAGTTCCGTCAACCTGTCCACCTCCGCGTGAAGCGCCTGGACCTCCGCCTCCGTCTGCGTGATCTGCGCGTCCCTCGCGGCGATCTCTCTCGCGAGCGTCGTCTTCTCTTCCGCGGACGCGGTGAGCTCCGCGTCCTTGGCGGCGAGGGACTCGGCGGTTTTCGCGACGGCGGCGGAGAGCGAGCGATTCTCCGTTCGCGCCGTCTCCGCGCGATCCGTCAACGCGGCGATCTCCGCGGTCTTCGCGCGCAACTCCTCCGCGAGCATCGACTTCTCCGCTCTCGCCGCGGAGATCTCTTGCGTCAGCGCCACCTTGTCCCTGGACGCGAGGACGACCGCGGCTTTCGCGTCCTCCGCGGCTTTCGCGAGCGCGTCCTTCTCCTCCTTCGCTCGTGATTCTTTCGATCGAAAGTCCTGGACCGCCGCCTCCATCGCCTCGCGCGCCGTCTCCCCGTCCGCCTCGAGCGCGCGTTTCTCCTCGACAAGCTTCTCCACGTCGCGCTCCAGCGCTTGGTTCTTCTCGTTCACCTGGGCGAGGACCGCTCTGCCGGTCTCCGCGCGCGTCTTCGTCTGCTCCACGATGCACCGCTGCTCGCGAACCATTCGAACGACGCCGTCGGTGAACTCTTCGTTCGCGCGTCGGTGCTCGTGGTGCACGCGCTCGCACTCCTTCTGCGACGCGACGATCGCCGCGTCCGTGCGCGCGAACTCGTCCGTGAACTGCGACAGCTGCTCGCGGACCTTGGACGCCATCGCGGCGACGCGGCCCGCCGCGGGGACGGGCGGCGTCGCCGTCGCAGGGACCGCGCGCGTCTGCTGCGTCTCGGGCGTCGGCGTCGGCGCCGTCGCGGCCTCGAAGGAGTCGTCCACGAAGCTCGCCGCGAGCGCGGGGCGGAACATCGTCGGGATCATCGTCTTCGGGTTCATCAGCTTCCTCTCCGCGGCGGCCATCTCGGGCGTGAGCGGCGCGAGGGCGTCGCCCTTCGACGCGACGACAGAATCGGCGGCGAGAGACGACGCCCTCTTAGACAGCGGGGAGGTGCTGGCCTGCATCGCGACGAACGAGGTTCGGTCGCGCGGGAACAGCGCGAGGACGGCGAGGACGCGGAAGACGCGGCGGCGATACTCCTTTCGATCGCGCGAGCGTCGCGGCGAGCGAACGGCGGCGGCGAGTCGAGCGCGGCGGTGCGGTCGTTGTGACAGGCGCGTTCCCAGAAATTCAAAAAAAAAAGCGAGTGGCATGGCATGGCAGCCACGGGAATTCCTCGGACGGGACCGTTCGCCGACCGCGCCGGCACGACGCGCCGCGCCGGAGCGCGTCCACGCGCTCGAGAACACCGCGTCGGCGTCGTCGCGGCGATGGTCCAGACGACCCCGAAGGCGAGCTCGTCGAGCCCGCGCGGGTTCGCCGCGACGGCCGCGACGGCGTCGCCGCGCGACGGCGGTCGCGCGGACGAGAAGAATGCGAATGATGCGAACGCCGACGGCGACGCGTCGCGTCCATCCCCCGCCGCGGCGGCATCGGCGCCGCCCCCCGCGGGTCCCGACACCGGCAGCCCGTTCGCGCCGCTCGTTCGCGCGCGCGAGGCTGAGCTCGCGGAGCTCGCGGAGGACCGCCTCGCGCTCGCGACCGCGCAGGAGACCGCGCTCGCGGAGACTCGAGCCGAGCTCGCGGCGACGAAGGGAAAGTTCGCATCCCTGCGCGGGGACTTCCACTACAACCTCCGGCTGCTTCGCGAGCGAGACGCGGAGCTCGAGAAGTTTGACGGCGTGCTCGCCGCGAAGGACGCGCAGGAAGAGGAGCTGAGGGGACGGCTGGAAGACGCGGCCGCGGAGATCGCGCGGTGGAAGGACGCGGAGGCGAGGAGCGCGGCGGAGATCGAACGCGCGCGGGAGGATCTCTCATCCTCCTACGACGAGATGATAAAAGAGAGAGAGACGACGCACGCGGCGACGCTCGCGGAGGAGACGCGAAGGGCGATCGACGCGGAGGCGTCCGTCGCGGCGCTGAACATACGATGCGAGGACCTCGCGCGGAGGCTGGAGACGGACGTCACGCGCGTGAGGGAACGCTTCGTCGCCGAGTATGAAAAAAAATGCGAGGCGTCGACGGCGGCGCTGAAGGACGCGGAGTCCGCGTTCGAACAGCGAAGGAAAGAGTGGGAGGCCGTGGACCTCGCGACGAGCGCGAGCGCGGCGAGGGAGCGCGCGCGCGCGGAGGGGCTGGAGAGCGAGCTCGAGGCGATGCGTAAAGATCTGAGCGTCGCGAGGGACGCGCTCGCGGACGCCGCGCGAGACGTCGCCGACGGCGCCGGGCTGCGCGCCGCCGCCGCGGACGCCGCCTCGAGGGCGAGCGCGGCGGAGGCCGCTTCCGCGGAGAGCGCGCGCGTCGCGAGGGAACTGAGGGTGGTGAACGCGTCGTTAACGGCTCAAAACGCTGCGTTTCTGTCGTCTACCGGGGACGCGACCGCGGTGTTGATGTCGAAAGCCGCCGGCGTCGTCGCCGGCTTGCGCGCGGCGGCGTCAGTCGGCGAACTCCTCGGCAGAGCCGCGGAGGCGTACTCGCGACAGGGCGCGGTCCACCCGAGCGCGAACAAGCGCATACGCAAGGGCATCAAAGCGCTGCAGCGGGTCGTGTCGCGGTCCGCGGCGTGGGACGCGGACGGCGTGAGCGACGCGATCGCCGCCGCGGGAGACGTCGCGACGGGCGAGGGCGGGTTAGAGGAGGAAATACTCGCCGTGAAGGCGAGGGCGAAGACCGCGGGGAAAGGCACGCCGGCGGCGACGCCGACGAAGCCGCCGCCGGGGCCGGGGAAAGGCGGCGGCGGCGGTGGAAGGGCCGGGAAGGGAGGAGAAGACGACGACGGAGGCGGTGAAGGCGGCGGTGAAGGCGGCGTCGGTGTTTGT